AAAAGTGCTACTAGGAATATGGAGACTTTTTTACTAAAAGAAAAAACAATCAAAGATCTCTTGGATTAACAGAATCTCTCTTGGTCAAAAAGTATGGACATTTTAATCATTTTATTTGCATAATCCTAAATTGCATATACACATCTGCATATATAATATGCAAGGTACATTGCAAGTACCTTGTAAATTTTTGTACCCATATTAAATATGTATATTATAGATATATATACATATGTGTGTAAACATGTGTTATACAATATATGTATATCATATTGTACATGTATGTGTGTACATAAATGTATGTGCACTATGAATTTGTCAGTAATTTAATAATATATTAAATAATAATTGTTAACTATTACATATCACTTTCAAGTTTGCAAAGTACTTTCCCTATTATGTATTTTGATAAAATTAATTTGTGAAGCAGATGTTATTATTATCCACATTATATGATGAGGAAACTGAGGGTGAGAAGCTAGCAATTGAAGAATGATACAAACTCAAGTCTTTCTGACTTCAAGTTCACAATTCTGTCCCTATACATTTTTGTAGCTTTCAATATTTTTCAAAACACCTTCATATCCACTGACTCAATTGACCCTCATGGCAATTTTTGAATTGGATAGGGTAAGTATTTTTATAACAGTTTGCAGATGACTTACTGGTCCAAGGTCCAGCAAAGTAATTTGTTCATGGTTCCATATGGCAGAAATACAGCAGAGAGCACAACATAAAACCCATAAATGTATTTGTTCTTTTTTAAATTGACTACCATGTGAATATGTTAATAAGATTTTTTAAAACACAAAGTACACTGACATGTTAAAAATGAGTTTACAAATAACACTGCAATGCCTGTCTCACCAGCATTCACAAAAGAGTGAAAATACTCAGAGGTACTTTATGTAATATTTGGCAAGCAATGTTCAGTGCTATAAAGTAATTTCGAAAAGAGTAAATAAACAAGCGCTTGACTTAGTGGTTGGATCCTCATGTACCAGTAGTCCTTCAAAGTAATGAGTCAAATGCAATTAAAATGTTTGGGAGGGGAAACAATATTCTACTTGCAGCTAAAACTTAGGATAAACAGAAATAAACAAAAAAAAATTCCCTCTCAAATTGCCACAAAAGTTGATTTTTTTAAAAAAAACATCACTTATTTGGGTTTGGTTCTTCTTTTTGTCATCCTGGATTAAGCCTGCTTGGGCCTTGAAAAACCAGAAACTCAATTTAATGTTCCACAGTCTGGTTTGTTTGTTTCTTTCTACATTGTATCAACAAAATGATTTGTTATTCAGACATTCTGGTGTTGGGGCAATCCATTTCGTGAATACTTCTTTCTTCTTATTGAGAAAGGAAAAGGAAAGAAGAAACTGTTTCCCTGGTAACTTGAACTTGGCTATATTTTACCATAACTTTAAAATACCTTTGCATATAAGGAAGTGCCGTTTATAGTGGGTAGGGAAGTTGGACACAGAAGGCTCCTTAAATTCAAAAATATACACCTCCCACCCTCAGTTCCCCCAAATGACCCACCTGGGCCCTAATTAAACTTCCCTTGCTACACTGCACTTGATTTGCTAACTTAGTGTGCAAGTAACAGATCCTCAACAGACAATCCCCTGTATGGGAAGTCTCCCAAAAGAAAAAAGGGCATTTTTCAATCCTAATCACTCTTCAAACAGGTTGTTTCTCTAGCTCTTGTTTCCTCTTTCTCTGTGGCATATACACATGCACATGTATAGACTTAACCTCCTTGATCTGTTCCCTGTGACTTGCTTCCTCCTTCTTTATTAATCATGACTCCCAAAAAGTTGGAGGGTTTTGTTAACTGAGGGGAAGAGAAAGACAATTTAGCATAGAAACCATATTTATTCACCTGTTTCCCTTAACCCTCAATTTTGAGGAAGAAATCTTCTACCTTTCTTCCCATGACAGAGCTTAGGAAGGAAGCTTTGGTTACTAGTATCAGGAAAAAGCTAAGTTTCTAAAGGCTTGGTTAGGAAAGTTGAAAATGAATCAATCTCCCTATTTGCTAAATGTAAAAATAAAAAAGAAGAATACTGGAAGAGTGGACTTAAGGTTTGGGTCAAGTCTTCAGACTAGAGGAAGGGAGGGGAAAAATGGGCTTCCATTGCATTTACTAGGTTAGCCTATCAGAAGTAATTCACTGACACCATCTCTCTATTCTTCTCTTCAATAAAATGTCTGCACACAGTGATCTTCTGTTAAGATCTATGTATAGATCACTGAGATACTGTAACTTGAAGGATTAGACACTTAATAAATATTTTCTAATGACAATAAAAAAAATCAAGAGAAAAGAATTTAATTCCAGAGTTACTTCTTTCTTTCATATTTGCTTCCTTTGATTCCCCACTATCTCTCCTTTCTTCAAGTTTTACTTAAAGGTGTAAGGTCTGAAAACCAAAATCTAGATTTCTCTATAGTTTTGATACGTCGAATAAAAAGTCTAATGCTCAATGCATGTGCCCAAATTATGGTTACTGTCTAGCATGTCACCTCCACCTTGTCCAAACGGGGTGAAATGGGGCAGATGGTCTGAGTCTGCAGTCCTACTTCCATCCTGCCAGCCAAAATGTTGGAGTAAGCTGGCAACCAAAATTCTCATGCCTTGTTTAAAAGGCTCTTAAATGGTATGTGTTTGCACATCTGTGCTCCTTGCCTCTTCTCTTATGGGATGATTTCTCTTCGAAGGTAGAAGCCACCCCTTTCCATATGTTGTTTACAATGCAAATATAAAAGTTTTCCTGTTGCTAGCTTGGCACTGCCACTGACATCCACCTCTTAATCAGTTTAAAAAGTGACAGCGGCAGAGATAGAATTCATTCGTAGTACTTTTCGGGGGGGAAAAAAAAAGCTTGACCAGATAATTTGTACCACACAGTGGGGCCCCTTTTCTGCCTGAGCCTATGCCTGCCAATCATGAATATATTTCCTAAGTGGGACCACACTGTATAGTAAACAACTGGACTGAGTATTTTTCATTCTCTTAAAAAAAATTACTGTTTCAGTCACACTGTATAAGATATTCTTTCCTAGGAATGAACAACACACTATCAACTGAATACTCAGTATTGATAATTCACCATATTCAGTGTCTAAAATATATTAACCAGAAATTTTTATACAGCATAAAATGCCAGAGTAGCAATCGCTTATTTTATTACACTTGAATTCACTCTACCAGTGAAATTGAATAGTAGCAGATTGCTAAAACAATATTAGGGTTATTTTTGTTTTGTTTTGCTTTTTTACATTTCCCACTACAAGATGAATCTGTAGAATAGCTGGATAGATGGATCTATTTCATCTAATATGTCATCAACCATATATCTAACTCTGAAAGTTGTGTTTGGTTGTTTTTTCTCTATTTGTCTCACAGTGAGTTATTGCCTCATAGGCTTTAAAAAAAACAACCACCACACCAAAACTTCCTTTACCAAGTAGACAGATTTACTATGCGCTACCAGGCTAAGGCGTACTTAGTACTGGAGCAGCTAGGATGGAGTGCTGGCTTTGGAGTCAAGAAGACCTAAGTCCACATCTTGTCTCAGACACTTACTAGCTAGATGACCTTGGCAAATCACACGACCTCTCTTAACCTCAGCTTCCTCATCTGTAAAATGAGGATAATAATAGTATTTACTTCATGGGCCTGACGTGAGGATTAAATGAGATAACGTATGTAAATCACTCTGCACACCTTAAAGTGCTGGTTGTTTAAAGGCTGGCTGTTGTTTCCTCCAGGAAAAAGAGAAAAGGTTTCTAAGTCATAAGCAGTATGATGATGGGCATTTAGTCCACGTTTACTTCTCCACAAATGGATCCATGGTAGGAAACTCCCAGTGTGGAAGCTCCCTCAACTAATGTAGATCAGCAACTCATCTATACCTTAAGGACCAGAGAGTCATCTGGCAGCACTGAATGAAATCACAAAACTAAATGAGGAAAAAAAAAAAACAAAAACAAAAAAAAACAACTACACAGTCTACATGGGAAGGAAGTACAGCCTCCTAAGAAAAAAGGCAACTTTGGGTGGTGTTTCAAAACAACTTGTTTATAATCCTTATTGCCTGCCCAATTTGTTGTTTTTCCACCTATCTAAATAACAAGTAACCGTATCATTCAGACTGTCAGAATCAAAAATGAGCAGAAAATTGAAAGGGATTATAAATTCATAGGCATCCCAAAAGTGCTATTGGAATGCTTATTCTCTGACCCCACAATGAGTTTTTATCATTGTATTTATAAATATTAGGCATGAAAATCAAGAGATATACCCCAGCAGTTCAGAGCATTATCAGATTTTAAAAAACAGCCTTATACACAAAATATTTGAAGCATCAGGACTCAGTTTAGGGTTGTTGTAGAGTTAAAAAAAAAAACATACAATTTTTTTTTCCATATATAAAATGTGAATTCAGAAGGACATGATTTCATCCTGCCTATGAATGGCTATTTCACCTGATCAGTGGTATGAAAAGCAGATGGGAACTGGAAAGGTAAATTATTTGTAAGGTGAGAACAAGGAAAAGCAAACTATCAGTGTCTATTCAGAATCACTCCAGTAGTTTATAGGAAGTCAGCCAGAATTAGAGATTTTAGGGAGAGGTTTTTAATTTCGATATTCTGGCTCAGTCTCACCCAGGGACAGCCACTTGAGTCTTGTCAATCTCATTATACTTACTTATCTATAACATGAGGATAGCAATGCCAACCCATCCATTAGGTATTTGGAAGAGTAAGCTCTTAATCACAGACCTGGCAAGCATAAGATATAAACAACAAACCGAGGCTACAGCCAACATTTATCTTAGAAAAAACTTCAGAACTGCTAAACACTGGAAGTATTTAAACAAATCCATGTGTGTGCTCTAATGTGGGACTGGGAAGGTGATTCCAGGGTAGGGTTAAAGCTAGCCACTCTGGAGGATGAACAGAACCATGGGGGGTGAGAAAGAGTGATTGCTTACCTTGGATACTTGTCGAAGCCACCTTAAGTACTCGGTGAAAGTATCAAAACAAATGTAATAGGTCTGGCTTTGAGGTCCAGAGGAACTGAAGGCTAAACAGTGCTGGTGCTTCTTTACTTCTTCAACCTAGGGGGAAAAAAGGCAGACTAGGAATAAAGGTATGACCCACAGATGGAACCTATCCTCAACAAGGAACCTAGCAAGCAGAGAGATGTAAAGGATGGCCCTGATCCTCTCTGTGGAGGATTTTGGAAGGACATGGATGAGAGTCTTATAGCATGAGGTGGAATGAAGCAATCAGTGATCCATCTTAAAAAACAAACAAAAAAAAATTTACAAATAATGTTTGTTAAACTGAATGAAAGTTCCATAAGAGATTTCCATTTCTCCTATTCTTGTAAACTACTCAGGTTTGCAAAAAGATCTGCATTTGAAGGAGACAGGTTATTTTCCATGGAGTTTCCCTATCTTTGGTGAACTGCTCTTCCTCTTTTTTCTGCATGGAACACTGCCTTCCCATATCCTTCCCCTCTTCACACTAGGTATTGGGATTCTCACCTCCTCTTAGAGGAATTTTTTTTTAAATGCTACACTGAGTAATGCTATTTTTTTTTACTGTATACATACCAAAAAGCCTCCAAACATTTTATATGCATTAAATAAATGGTAGAAATAAACTTAAGGTCATCCTAAATTTCTACAAAGGGCAGGTAGGTGGTGCAGTGGAGACAGTGCCAGACCTGGAGTCAGGAAGACCTGAGCTCAAAAATCTGGCCTCAGACACTTTCTAGCTGTGTGACCCTGGGCAAGTCACTTAATCCTGTTTGTCTCAGGTTCCTTACATGTAAAATGAGCTGGAGAAGAAAATGGCAAACCACTCCAATATCTTTGCCAAGAAAACCCCAAATGGAGTCACAAAGAGTTGAACACAACTGAAAAACAACAAAATTTTTACAAAAGCATGAACTTTAGAACAACTATGTCATCTATAATATAAAAATATAATAGGTTTCCATTTGGGCACTTGTTAGAAAAAAAGAAAAATACAAAGAGAAAAAAGTAATAAACGTTTCAAAAAGTCAAATATCTATGTATGTCTTAAGGAAGAAATTGAGAATGCTCTAAGGAAAAATGAATTTATACTGAATAAATGTTTATCACCTTAAGAAACACTTATTGTCAACAGTTTACCTAAATGTGAGTTTTATTAAGACTCACCAAGTACCTTTCAGTGGTCAAGGTAGACAAATGATGGACATCTGACCAGGGAGAATGCCAAACTCACAACATTACCTCCCAGTGAACACAGATGGCTTAACAGAAGAGTAAGCCATCCCAAACCAGGTTTTTTGGGGGGTCTTATTTTATATGGGGGGAGGCAGAGCCATATCCTCTCATTTTAGGTTTTAGTCCAAAGTAGAGTTAAAAGGGAAATGGAAAATCACTTTAGAAAAACTACACTGCAAAAAGTAAAGTGTACCCCTCCACCTCCTCCACAACTCAGATAACTGGCTTTTAAAAGACTAAGATTTAATCACTTCCAAAGCTTACCTAGAATAGGTCTAACAAGGTCTGCCTGAGAGAAAAAAGAAGTTATTAACTCCCAGTTCATTCAATTATGGAAGACTACACAATAGTAAGCCCTAGCATAAACCTTCCATATCTCTCCAATGAAGTCCATGCAAATTCTAATCGTGGTCTATGCTGGCATCTAACTTTATGGAGAAGAAATTGACCTTTTTTTTTTAACTTGGCAGGATGTCAAACACAGAATTTAAATTTTTATTAGGAAGTTGTATTTCTACTCACAAAACTCTATCTAAAGAGCAAGTGACCTGATTCCTAGATTAGTACCACTCAAAAACCCTTATATACATGATTGTAAATTGAGGCATGATGGGGATAGTGGGAAATGGGGTGGTAGTTTCAAGAGTAAGGATACAAACAGGCCTAAAGTGGTCTAAGAAAAAGAAATCTCCTGTTTTGAAGCAAAGTATGAACTTGGTTAGGATCAGGATCTCTAAGAACCAGGGTTAAAAAAAAATACACTTTACACATAGCAACTCCCTGAAAATAATAATCCCAATTATGTCAAGTATTCAAATAAGGAAGGAATATTTTAGACAGTGTAAAATGAGGAAGAATGACTTTTTTTAAATCTGCTCTTGCTGAAGAAAAGAGGCAAAAGAGCTTCTATATGCATCCTATTCCTCCTAAATCAAAGTGTCTAAGGATCAGATATTTGCCAACTGAAAAACCATTACTTTTAGTAACACTTGATCTCCTTATTTTCCTTCTTCCCAACTTCCCCTATATACATTCAAAAGAGAAAGTGCCAAATGAAATCTCTTGCTCAATGCCTTTCCCACTCCATTATAAACAATCCATTTTAATCTCTTAACCTGCCAATCAGCACATAGTCAAATGACTTTAAATCTCACATCATTCAAACAAAAAAATAAATTGACATTTAATTCAATCAAGATTTTTAAGGGCCTAGGCTGGGAATAGAAAGAGAGAAATAAAACAGTCCCTGACTTTAAGGAGCTTATTTTCCACAGCGGGGATATAATATGGACAGGGATAAGAAATGACCAGGCAACGTGAGGAGGTAAAAAACAGTAACAATGGGATGCTCCAGGGAAGGTTCTAGGAGAATGAGGTCTGGAAGGAGGATGCAGTTCATAGAGAGGAGCTGCATCGCAGTCACTGGAGAATGCCAGGTTCAGGAGGAGGTATTTTATCCTAAAAGGAACCACAGAATGTTTTTGAGCATAGGAATAATATGGTTAGTTCCTGTGCCCAAGAAAGATTATTTTGACAGCAATATAGAGAATGGATGGTTGAGAAGAGAATAAGGACAAAGAAGACCAATTAGGAATAACAGTAGAGATGAAAGCTGAAATGGGTTGGAGCAGTCAGCGATCAACTATTAATTAAGCATTTATTTAGTGCCTATTAGGTACAAACAAGAGATACCCAGGATAAAATGGAAATCATCTCAGAGGTAAAGCACTAAGATTAAGGACCAGGAAAGGCTTTCAGACTTTAAGAAAGCCAGAGAAGCCAGGTGGCAGAGATGAGGAAGGAGAGACAGGGGGACAGTCGTGAAAGTGCCTAAGAGGGTGTCTTCTTGGAGGAGGAGCAGGAGGATAGTGTCAATGGAGGGCAGCACACATCCTGTAGGAGATAAGGCATAAGAAGACTGGCAAGGTAGGAAACGACCAAGTGATGAAAGACTGTCAAAGCCAAACAGGATTTTATATTTGATCCTGGAGGGAACAGGAAGACATTGGAGTTTACTGAACAGGGGAGTAACACGTCAAACTTGCATTTTATTAAGATCAATTTAACAACTGAGTGGAGGCCAGATTGGAGTGGGGAGAGCTTTGAGCCTCACCAGCAGACTAAGGCAGTAATCGAGGCATGAGGTGGTAAAGGCCTGCACCAGAGCGGTGGCCGTGTCAGAGGAGAGAAGAGGCTTATGTGACAGATGTTACAGAGGTGCAGGCAAGAGACGGAGGAAAGCTAGGTGGCACAGCACATAGGGCACCAGCCCTGGAGTCAGCAAGACCCAAGTTCAAATCAATGAAATCCTACTTGATTTTTTTTCTGATTTTTTTTAGCTTTAGTTCATTTATCTAAAGCACCATACCAAAGCAGCCAAATAATTCTCCTGTGAGCTAGCTAGCCTCTCTCACAGATTTGAACACCAACCAACTGGCCAAGCAATACTGCAATGGTATTCTACCAGTCCCAAAATGATCAAGGGAGAAGACATGGATGGGTTAACACAAATTCATCACTATGTTAAAGAATCAACTCAGTTTAGGGACTCTTTTGGGCATGGTTCAGAAGCACAATCTTTGTATACTACAATTTATGAATTTTTAAAAAAAATACAACTTACTTTTCCACCAATTAGTGGAAGGACGTGCATCTTTCCGGTCAAGCTGTCTTTCACAGAGGACACAATCAGGCACGTTCCACACAGGATAACTTGGCGTCTTGTCCATCGGTTCACTGGTAACTGCATTTTCCCTTTTCGCACATTGTACATTCCTGAGAGCTGAATCCGCTCAGAGCTACCAGTGCTATGGGGCTTTCCTGAAACAAAAGGAAATACTTTAGCCTAAAAGATTATATCATTTTTCATTCTTCTGCATATCAGACTAGTTACCTGGTGATTAAAAAAGAAGAGTGGAGAAACCAAAGCATTCTATGATTGAAAGAATTTGAACAAGACTGGAGTCATGCTGTTCACATAAGGGACCAGATAGTTGCTTTACAAGGACATCCTGCCAATAATATTTTTACTTCAGGTAAGAAGGAAAACCTCTTAAACCTCCGAGGGGAAAAAAATCTGAATTTATTTTCTCTTTTGCTGCATTTTATTTTCCTTTTATACCCCTCCAAACCAAAACTAAGTTTAGAAAGAAATGCCTTTAAAAATCTGAATCAACAACTAAAAGTAAAAATAAAAGGTAACAAATCCTGGAAGGAAGTATAGTTCACTGAAAAGATGACTAGATTTAAGGTCAAAAGGCTCTGGGTTCAAATTCTGGATCTACAATTTACTATCTGACCCTGGGCAAATTACTTGATCTATAATTTATGTTCCCATGATACTTAGGACTGGGAAATAAAATTCCAACCATAAGAATGAGAGTAACATTCAACATCAGGCATTTGTAACTGGCCAGTGTCTATGACATGAGCACTGATTTTTTCCCCCTGAATGTACATCTTGTAGATTCACTACTAATATGAAAGAAAACTGTCTAAATGCCAACACTATTGCATCATTATAAATAGCCCATATTCATTCACAGGGTTGTGAGGATCAAATGAATTAACATGTGTAAACTGCTCTGTAAACTTTAGAGCACAGCAGCTACTATTACTACTACTACTACTACTACTACTACCACTACAACAACAACAACAACAACATCAGGCTACCTATGGTTGGTAATACTACCATTCTAGGCTTTCCTTTTACATGCATACATATACAGACACACACACACACACACACACACGGAAATTAATTTGGCATAGCTCCATTTAGGCAAGTCTCATGACCGGAACGGAAGGGCTGCCCTGATTTATATGACACAATAGGCAAGTTGTATCAACAAACGAAGAAGTACTTCCTCAGTTCTAGGCACAACTATGTACTACTAGGAGCACTGATGTCATATACAGAAATAAATTTAAAGAGGATAGAAAAAGTCTAGAGTCAAGCCAAAACTAGAAGTGAATTTGGATTCATTCATTCCTTCCTTCAGGTTAGCACATTTAATGAAATAAAATAATATTAATTAATAAAATAATATATACCAATTAACATTAATACATACTTCTTGTCACATCAAGAAGTTTTTACAATGTTTTTACAAGTGACTACAGCCCTCCCTAAAAAATGTCCCATACAGAAAATGCCCCCAAATGGCTTCAACCTCCTGAATATCCACATTTTGACAGTGCTTAAATAAATAGCAAGGGCAGCTAGGTGGCTCAGTGATCAAGTGCTGGGCCTGGAGTCAGGAAACTCATCTTCCTGAGTTCAAATCTGGCCTCAGACACTTGCTACCTGTGTGACCCTGGGCAAGTCACTTAACCTTGTTTGCCTCAGTTTCCTCTTCTGTAAAATGAGCTGGTGAAGGAAATGACAAACCACTCCAATATCTTTACCAAGAAAACCCCAAATGGGGTCATGAGGAGTCAGACATGACTGAACAACAACAAACAAACAGAGCAACACTGGCAGTTCCAACATTCCCCTTGCCACCCTTCTGTTCCAGAACAGCATCTAGCCTCACAAAAAGGCAAAGGCTTGGAGCTGGAAGGAACCTTAAGAGAAAATCTAATCCAGCCCATTCATTTTACAAGCAAGGAGATTAAGGCCCAGAGAGCAGAAACAGCTTTCCTCATATCATACAGGTGAGCAGCAGAGTCAGAGTATTAAAAATCAGTCACAGCTCTTTCATGTATTCAGATCTGATTTTTAAATTCCTCCTTGAGCTAGGTGATACTCATCAAGTGAAAGCGCTTTATTCATAACATATACCAAACAAGATAACACATGTAAAGTGCTTTACAAACATTAAAGCACTATGTAAATGGTAGCTACTATTATTCAGATAATGTTTTTAAAGCTTATTAAGCAATTTCCTTACAACAATCCAGTGAGGGAGGATATGCAAAAGCATGATATGTTTTACAGAAGAGGAAAGTGACTTTCAGCAAGGTAACAGTTAGGAAATACTGGAAATAGGATTTGAATCCAACTTTCTTGATTAAATCCAGCACTCTTTCACTGCATCAGAGGCAGAGAGCATGGAGGGACCTCAGGCCACTAAGTCCAACACCCTCATTTTACATTAGAACACCGAGGCCCAGAGATTTGCCCAGAATCACGGCTGGCAAGCATCCCAGGTGGAATTTGAACCCAGATCTTCCAGACTCTAAATCCAGCACTCACTCCATAACACCATGTAGAATTATATCTTGAAAATTTAAATATTCCAACATTTAAGTGATTGGGGAGAAATAGCAGACATCACTTCTGAGAGCTGCTATAACAGCAGAGTCGAGGTTAGACCATAGCTAGACTTCCGTCCTCACTCTGAAGAAGGCATTTACAGAGGAAGGGGAGCTTAAATTCAAAATCTAAGAGCTCCCATGCATGTGGTAGAGGCTGAGATTGGAGAGAAATCAGAAGCCTAAAATTTTGAAGCTCAGAGGAAACTTAGATTGTTAAGCCTCACCTCTGCATCTTATAGATGAGGAAACCAACACAGATGGGGTAAAGTGACTTGTGCCAGCATGGGTACTTAGAATCCAGATTTCCTGGGATGGTTAGTCCAGGGCTCTGTGGCAGCCAAGAGGTGCAGTGTTAAAAAACACCATGCCTGGAGTCAGGAAGACTTGAGTTCAAATCCAGTCTCTTATTGGTTACTCTTACTAGTTGTGTGACCGTGGATAAATTACTTTCCCTGATTGCCTCAATTTTCTCATCTACAACAGCGCCTACCTTCCAGGGTTGTTGTGAGGATCAAATGAGTTAATAATCATAAAGTGCTTAGCACATATTTGGCACAAAGTAAGCATTCTATATAAAAGCTAGCTATTACTATTATTATCATCATTATTATGATTTCAAGACAAAGGAAAAGCCCAAAGAGAAAGTAAGTAGGTGGTATGGAGAAGGATGGATAAGTCAGTCTTGAGTTATTCATATATTTCCATGACCACAGACAACTGATCTAATCCTTAAAATGGACTGCTCATTAATTAACTCAAGGCAACACTTGGGATCTGATGGATTTACAGAAAGACATCTTACCCAATCTTAAAGCCTCCAAAGGGTGCAAAGCAGTTCTAAGCTAGCTTATGAGTCTGGGTCTATCTTACAGTTTACCTCTTGAGAATCCAAAACCAAATCATGACTTTCAGTCCTGCCTTGCTTGTTGTCCCTCCTTTGGTGACTGAGGTCAGACTTGATGACCAACACTGAGCTTTGAAACAACTGATCCCTGGGGTGGGGATGGGAGGGTAGGCAATGTATGTATGCCTGGGCATTCACCCAGGTACATCCTCCTCCAAGTCAGACTTCCTTATTCTATTACATAAGTATCTTTATTTTCTTTTCCTTTCTTGCCAGCTCTTGGAACCCTTGGTTCAAAGAGGCAGTTCTAATTGTCCTATGGTCTAAAAAACATTGGCATCAACGTATTGCATGCCTGCCAGATTAAAGCTGGGGCTGTTATGATAACTTTCATTTCAGAAAGGATATTCCAAACCTTCCAGGTTGGTAGCATTTCTTACATGATCCCAGGAGGAGACAGCTGGTAGAGCAAAAATTTAGGTGGAGCAGAGGCTGAGATATGACCTCAGCACAGGGAAATAAAAACACATTACACTGAAACTCAATTGGCAGGTGGTGGGCAGAGAACTTGATCCTGTCACAACCTGTTCAGGGATGGCCAAACTGAAGTGATGAAGGTGCTCTCAGAAAGCTGTGGCAATTCAATTTTTACACAGCAACCAATATACTCAAATGTCAAGCCAAGCTCTCTGTACCTTGTGCAGTCAGACCTCAAAACCTCAAAACCTCCTAGCAAACTTCTATTCTTCTATTCATCAAGGAGAAGGTTAATTGGCAAAAAAGGTTATAAAGATTCATTGCCTAAAAAGGAAAAGAAAAAGATTTCAAGTTTTCTTTTCATATAGTGGTATAATTTTTTTGTGGCTGTGAACTTTTAAATGCAATGGTCTTTGGTTTGGGTTTTGCCTGAAAATTTTTGAGGAAAAGTTTCTAGAAACATAGACTATTAGGTAGTTTTCCTAACTTTCAGGAACTGAGGTTATCTATTTTCTATTCCTCTATAGCAAAAATTTGCTAGTTGGGCCAAGCCTACAGAAGTCATGACCTCAAAAGTCTTGGTGCTTTAATAAATTAAAATTCACTAAGACTTTTGAGTCACCCTACATAATACACACATACACACCCACACACACACTCCTAAATACATATACAAATACACCAATCCTTTAAATCCAAGGAGACAGACTGAAAGAAAACGAGAAAATTAAAGAATGCAATGAACGGCTCAAAAGGGCACATTTTTTCCTTCATTCTCAATATTTGTACTCGAAGTGAACAGAAAATCAGTTTGAAAGTAAATTCCTTTATATTTTAATTTAAAGACAGTGTGGTTTGGTAGAAAGAAAGCATGCTTTGGAAGGAGAAGTCTGGAATTCAAAAAGTCTAGCCTCTAACCCATCCTGGCTGGGCTAGCCTACGTAAATCCCTTAACTTCTCAGAGCTTTCAAGAAACGCTTGGGTTGTAAATTGTAGAGTCAAAATTAAACTGCTTTGGTAGAGGGAGTTTCCACACAGAGAGTTCCTTACTCCAATGAAGCCTCAGGTGTAGTTTAAAACAAACAAACAAACAAAACAATAACAAAACTCTACCCAGAGGACTTAAGATCAATGGGCCAGGGTTCCCTACTGCCCATCCAATGGTGTCTTTGAAGCAACAACCTCAGGTGGTCAAGACAAAGAAAGTGTGAAGGCTTCTAGGTAAAACTTAACCCAA